AGTTACAATAAAGACTTATCTAACTTATTTTGTAGCAATTAATTGAATATTCCTACAAAATAGCTCTTTCTTAACATCAATCATTAACAGCATAGTCAAGTTGCAATAAAGATTTATTTAACTTATTTTGTAGCAATTAATTGAATATTCCTACAAAATAGCTCTTTCTTAACATCAATCATTAACAGCATAGTCAAGTTGCAATAAAGACTTAGCTAACTTATTTTGTAGCAATTAATTGAATATTCCTACAAAATAGCTCTTTCTTAACATCAATCATTAACAGCATAGTCAAGTTGCAATAAAGATTTATTTAACTTATTTTGTAGCAATTAATAGAATATTCCTACAAAATAGCTCTTTCTTAACATCAATCATTAACAGCATAGTCAAGTTGCAATAAAGACTTATCTAACTTATTCTGTAGCAATTAATTGAATATTCCTACAAATGTTTTTAAACATAGGTCTTTCTTAAGTGATGATATATTTATAAATTAAACCCCTGTCCAGACTATCAACAAATATATTTTACAAAAACTTGTGACATGCCTAAATATGGTCATGGTGACATCATATCGTGACCATATATAGGCACATCATGAAACAAGTATTGGCATAAAACAGTTTTTTGTCAAAGAAAATTTGAAAATCTGGACGGAGTTTTACTTACATATCTACAAGTATCAAAACATCTTTAGGAGAGTTAGCTGCGCCGATGTACCTGGAAAAAAATAATAAAATAATATAATAATAATAAATAAAAATTACATTAGCACTCAACCAAGTACTGAACGTAAATTAAATTTGTTAATAGTAAATCATCATATATAAAATATGCAGAGGACAAGGAAAGATATTTTTATGGTGTCCTGTTAAAAAAAAATTCTTAGTATTTAATGTTTAGTGCAGTGTTAAAACAAATATTTACCACTAGTGTTATTTATTAACTTTAAAGTATATGTGAAAAGAAGTTTAACAGAGGAGCCTTTAAGAGGCATAAAATTTGAAAGTAATTACTGCATCTCTAAACTTTGGACTTTGAACACATTGCGGTCAGGAACACTTTGCCCATCTTTAGAGAGTTCAGGTAAAATTGTTGAGGAAAAATTAATTACAATGATTACGTAAAAGGGTACCATTTTGGGCATCAAGAAGTGACATAACCGGATTCTTTTTCGACCTCAGTTCCCCAACCACGGTGGGACTAAGGTGGATATGGCCAATCTATCAAGAAACAGTGTACCCTGCCTGTTGGTAAATTATCTGATACCATCACAGTCTTACTGAGTGTAAATTAGGAGACAGGAGATGGAGACTATCTTTTAGTTAGGTCTTTACATGAGACAATATGTTTAAGCCATTGATCCTTTGTGCAATATGGCCCACATGGACAGAGCACACCCTTCAGTAAAGAGTAAGAGGTTGTTTCCTGGTGTACTGTGCTATTCACCATCAGAAAGACCCCACTGGAAAGAAGTCTTTAGAGATAGTGGGTTTATTAACTCCAATCTATCTTATCCTTATTTGCATACTGATGTTTTTGTAAGCCAGACATTCAATATACCATCACTTACAGCTGCTAAAATCGTGTGCATAATTGGTGAGATTTATAGTAAGAGGACTGTTGACGCATAAAATCGTTAGAAAACTAGATTAACTTGGTTCGTAAACACTTAAATTTAAGTGGCTATATCCAATAAGTGGCTGTCAACACTGAACGTCAGCGAAATATGAGGACGGGGAGAATACTCGATAACGATGCGACTCCTACTAGGATAATAATATTCAATGATGTGATTAAATGTACTATGCTGATGTCATTACTCACCTACTCAGGTAAATTTATTCTAATATATTTTTATTATTACATACAGTCATGTAACGACGAGTCACAGGGCTTGGGGCTGAGAAAGTGTTTGGGCCTACGCATTTTAGTAATCGAAAGTGTCATGACTGAGCGGGCCCCTTCACAGTGGAATATCACACAATACTGTAGCATATTATATTATAACTTGATTTGAATTGTCTGCGAATTTCAATAGCCTTATTTCATTATTTCATACTAATTAAATTTCTGATTACATTTTGGGTAGAGAACTGTTGTATTTAAAAAAAGGCGTCAGTGGTGGATCCAGGAATTTAAAATAGAGGGCGCCCGAGAGGTACTGTCGCAGATGGAGGATTTATATCACAGAAATGATAAGAAACCGCTTTCAAAACCATGCAACCTATCTTCTTTTACTGGTAATATTAGGTTTTTTTTTTTAATCAAAACTATTCATGACGTTCACACACTAGAAGGTAAGCAAGCGAAGCGAGCGCACCCTCTAGTTCTATTACATTTTCGTGTGATGTCTGCATAATATACAAATATTATATAACATTCAACAATCGTAACACTGTATACTTACCAATAAATTGTAAACAACATAAAATAGCAAATACAAAATATTAAAAAAATGAGATCATAAATAATGTATAATGTGTACTGAATTTTGGCATTGAATTTTAATTTTGTATAAAACCTTAAAGTACAAATAGAAAGCCTCCATAAATAATAAAAAGACACCTAGATATACACACCATTACAATATTTTTTCTTCTACACTAAGTATAAAAATTCAAGACTCGTGTACTCTACTCTTTAAAAGGGAACTAGAAAGATGATTTTTTTTTTCTAAAAGGGATTTTAGATATGTCACTAGTAATAGAATCAACCTTAAATTCGTTTTTTGTCAATTTCTTACTGTCGTAACCAAACATCCGGAGATATTTGTTTTGCAGTAGCTTATACTGACATCACGCTGCTAAAGGGGTAAAATCGTAATGGCCTATAACTTCATAAAAAATTGCAAAAAAAAAAGATTTTAAAGTTGATTCTATTAATCACATATCAAAAATCCCCTCTAGAAAAAAATATCATCTTTCTAGTTCCCTTTAATTCCTCAAAATACCGACCATCACCAAACACTATAAAGAGAATTTGAGCTTTTTCCAGAATATCAAATTTCTGCGTGACAAATATCTGAGATTTGGAAATATATAGATGTCGTATCAATATGAGGAAATCACAGGTATTCGTCACATAAAACTTAATAGCGCTGACCGAGCATAAATCTAAGATATGATCGAATTGATGATGCACGAAGGACATAACATTAAAAGCGAAAGAAAATACACAGAAAACGGAGATGGTAATAAAAAAAAAGGTAATGAAGCTCGGATGCATTTTGAACGACAATTTTCTAAAAATTGGATGTGATGTAAAAAGTCAAGGTGAATCAGAAAACATGCAAGACGCAGCTACTCGTGTGCAATTGACCAATAAGGTAATGTAATGTAAATGGTAACAGGTAACAGGTGAAGGCATGAAATACAAATGATATATGAATGTTACATAAAAAGACAAACACCGACATCATTTCCAATACACAAATTTCTGTATTTAATTTTCATCTAATTATACTATATCTATAGAGAGTGATACTTTCAGCTTTTATCAAGAAAGTCACTGATAATCAGGGACCCTCAACCGTATGATGAATACAGGGGTTAATGGAAGGAGCACTTACTGGCTACAGCAAATAGTTTTTATTTATTTAAAAAGTTTCCTTCTTAAATCTTAAAAAAAAAAAACACCCTAGATGCACCCTTCTTTTAAACAAAATGATGTTATGAAATGTGATAAATTAAGTGAACAACAAAAGGTTTACGAGTGGAGTTGTTTTTAGTTGTGAAAAAACAATTCTTGGTGTTCAAAGGATTCGAACCCAGGAATCAGGGTTTAGAGAGCAAGTACCATTTCCACCTATTTTTCTCAACTAAGGAAAAAAATATCTGTAGCCTTAATCTTTAGATTATTATGTACCATTCAACTAAATTTTATGATCTAGTCCTTAGTTTTTGCATAAAATTACTAAACAACAGACGGGGCGAAAACCTCCCTGGCAGAGATATTGATGCTTTAAGTCTCTTTATGAGATTTTGGCAGTGGAGTTGACTATAGTTGTGAGAAATTAAAAAAAACTAGCTATGTGTACAGATATGCCGTTGCCATCTTTAATTAAGGCTTAAGACAAATAAACAGAATAGCTCCTATGTTTTTTTAATCATGGTGGTAAACATCAACAAAAATATTGTAATTGTGTCTCTCTTCACAAAGTAATATTTGACAATATACACAACATATACTTCTCCAAACCAATACACAGTGAAAATAAGATTACACATATCACCAACAACACTTTACTTTATAATAACTTACATCCAGTTTGAAGTTGTTTAAAATTGGTTATATATTCATTTCGGAGCTTAGGTCCTTTTCTGATGGTAGGCTAGTGACCTTCTACCAAGATTACTTAACCTCACCATGTGAAAAATGTGCACTGATTTTATATTTATACAGCATACATATAAGCGTGCATATATAACATGTAAATGGAGGTACATAAATATTCAGTTACACATCAGTATCAAAAAACAGAAAAAAATAACTAATGTGAACACACACATTAAATACACTTAACAAAAAATAACCGCCACGAATTAATACATTGATAATATAAATGTAGTTATACATAAGAATATATTCAAATATTATCAAGTTGCAAGCCACCAAAAAGTGAAACACAGAGGGCAGCAAACTCACCAGCTCCTTCGTCTCACATCATATTGATCCATCGTTAATTTACCTTCAGGCAAATCCCAATCTTTGCCTGGTGTAGAGTAGGTAACAGCAAAGATAAGGAGAAAAATCACAATTTTTATGAGTTCCACAGAATTTAAAATGTCCTTTCAGGTATTAACTTACCTGGCTTGCTCTCTCCCTCTACACAGTAATTTTTATATCAATATACAATAATAGTCAATTAATAACGATGATGAAAGTCCGTAGCCCCCTCAAATTAACAAAAATAAAATATCTTAAAAAAATATGTTATCATATTCTCAATGGCGTATCTAGGGGTAGCACAGGGGGAATGCACCCCCTCCCCAAAAAAAGCTCACACCCCAGTTACCCCGCTAAAAATGTCAAGTAGTTGAAAATTACCTATTACCTTATATTGCAAACTAATATTAATTTTGATATTCTTAGCACCACATCATCCCCCCCCCCCTTCTGCTTAATAATCATCAAGCTCTACCTTCGTGTCACCCATCAACTCCCCATTTTAATTTTTCTCGATAACTAATTTCGCCAATGCATTTCCTGTAATGGAATATGTATATGGATATTTAAAGCCACACATTACCATACTGTATGTTTGATTATTTTGTCCCTCGACGAAGAATCTTATACCTCCCATTGGGAACACTGTCTTAGTAATTATTGTACCGGTTAATTATATACTGCATTTTATTTTTTATTATATTGTTTTTTTTTATTACTATTTTGAATCAGGATTTGGCTTTACAATTCTAAAAATTTCTCATCTGATTTATTCAGAATACCAAAATTAATTAATTTTATTAACTAATTATATTGAGATATTTTAATTTAGTAATGGGGTGTTCCATTTACAAGCACTATCCTTCTGGAATTTCCTGTTTTCTTTGATTATTAAAAAACATTAAATAATTATACAATATATAATTTATTTATTTACATTCAAAGAAAATAAAAGAATTGTTCATTGAAATAAAAGTCAATCAATAAAATTTACACAAAATACATAAATATAAATCTATCAAAGTATACACTAAGGCTAAATAAAGAAAATTGGTCTACTTTTAAGAGAATAAAGAAAGCAATTTATTAATTTTATTTTTGCCTGTAAGCTCTCAGACCAAGTGCATTAAATCAGACCCACAAATTTCATGAATATGCAAATTAGTGAACTTTAATATTAAAAACTTATGCTAAAATTAAATCTATTTGCAATTAGCTTTCACCTAAATGGTCAATATAATAATAATCAAACTTAGGGGTGCTAATTACATCTTCAAGATTACTCATAAGCAACAGTGCTGTAATAAATTATGAGGTAATTTAAGTTTAATCAGAATTCATGCATTATTAACACGAACAGGCTAAAAGCGTGCCCTCTTGTGGTAAAGTTAATATTATTATAGTCAGCCTGTGAACGAATGGCCATATATGAGGCTTGTTGTCATTCCCAAAACCAGCGTACTCTCGCTAATTGTTCAACGGAGTAATTACCATAAGAGTGTGGCAATATTGTATACTTTAGTACAGATCTAAGCCATAATACTTTTCTCATAACTTAAGTTTGGCAATTTTAAGTCGATTCCAGTAAGGGGTCATTCACAATTATCAACATTTTCACAAGTGTACAACAGTATGCTATGGGGAAGGGGTGGACAAATTTGTACACTTTTACATATGCATGAAAATACTGATTGAAAATAACATGGAAAATATTTAAAATAATAGACTTTTATGACCAATTATAATGCAATCATGGATATAAAATACGTTTTTAAGTTAATATATACATTTTCTTTCTCTATACAATAATAATATTTTAATTGTTTAAAGATTTGTTTAAGATTAAGTATAAAGTAGGCCTACAATAATATAAAACCATGCTAACACTGTCATCATATCCATACGTAAAAAATAAGCCTTATTTGTATCTCTGAATCGTGGAAACCAATTACCATGATGTACAGTACTAACATTTTGTTGCAATGAATATCTGAACCTGAATATATATGAAGATTGCCATCCCAGCATCAGTGATAAAAAATATGAGCGAGTAAAAATATTACAGCTTCTCTGTACTGAAGTATACAATACTGCCAGTCTTCTTATGCTAAGTACTCAGTTTGACAATTACACTAGTAACAATGCACTGGTTTTGGCAAGCCTCATATATGTGTACTATAATAATTTATGTAGTTCTATCACATAATCAATATCCATCTTCTTGTTTTATCTGCAACCACTTTACTAGGTTACAATAAATAATGTAAATATCTGTCCATAAGATAGCATGAATAGAGCTTATTATAAACATGAATCGTGCATTTTAAACAGCTATGCGAATATTATGGTATTTATAAACTTCTAAATCTCGAAGTCAAAAATCTCTACAGAAAAATTGTAATTGATTTTGGATTAAAACTCAACCCACACTATCGAATTCTTTTTGACACAAAGCTGTTGTATGCCAATATATAGTCATGATGTGCCTATATATGGTCATGATGTGATGTCATTATTACCATATTTAATCACGTCACATGTTTTCGCCAAATAAATTGAAAATGAATAACAATTATTCAAGCTAATGAATAGATAAATTATTCAAAAATTTATAATAGAATTTTGGATAATGAGTGCCGGTGCAGATAAAGGGCAGATATAATAAGCAAGGACAATGCACAACTCCTGATGATTATTCACCAATAATTTTCTTACAATTCGCCTCAAAATGCACATAATTTATCACAGCAGAAAGCAATATAACACAACAGAGCCATTTGAATAACTAACATATATCACTCGTCGGAAGATAACACTACTTCACTGGTGAGATTTCATGAGTAATTGCATGGCCGTAAACATAAACAGATGAATTGTATCACACAAAGTTAAAAGTACTTATAACACATTGAGCAAAGTGAGTTAAACTTATTTTTAAAAAAGGGAAATATCTGTCATCAGACAGGGATGGCACACCCTTTTGGAAAGTTAAAAAAAGAAGAAAAGAGAAAGACAGAAAAATAAATTATTGATTGCCCAAGATGCCTCAGAGGTTATTTACAGGTGTTTACAAAACAAAAATTACCCCAGGGTCTGCATCCCACCTCCCATTTGAGAAATAACCATTAAATATCACAGAGACAGAAATAATAATTTTGTAACATAAACAGAACATATAACATACATCATAAATCGTAAATGTATACAGTAATGGCTCACAATTCCATCAAGGCTTGAAACTACTGTACTGTATTTCCAAATTATAATTTGAGCTTGCAGATTACAGTATATCATACTTCCAGGACTTTAGAGGCAAGAAAAACCAGGCTACTTGGATAAACTAGCCTACAACTTGGAATAAACAATTTTTTTATTTTAAATAACAGTGGATTAAAAACTAAATTGGATATCTCGATGTTGTTGAAATAGCATGGCAGTTCCCGCTGCTACTCAGGGTATCAAATTCAACACTAAGCGCAAGCTCAGTGGTCTAGTGGTTTTGACACCAGGCTAGTTATCTGGAGGTTGTAGGTTCAATTCCCACACGTATCACTACTGAGACTTTTTCACAAGTATTCAGATTAGATTGGATTGTTGTAATTACACAGAATTTATGGAAAAAAAATGGTATAGTTTTTTATCATCTTCTGTAGTATGATTACGAAGCAGTCAGGCATGGAATTAACAAATTTAAAGATAAATGAGTGCAATTTTTTTTAAGAATGCAATTTTGTATAAAGATGTATGAACATGTCTTTTGATGCTTTTGAAGCAGATTTAAAAAAAAAAACATAAAGAAAGTTATTATAGTGTCATTAAAGTATAGATCGTATATTGTAGTTATAGTGTTGATTATATTTTGTGTAGATAAAAGAACCTGTGAGTGAATAATGGTACAACTGGTTATGTTAAAAGTATTATATGCACAGAATACCTATATGTAAGGTATAGGTGATTTATTACAAAGACCACCTCCAATTAAAGACCACTTTTCTCTGGTTCCAGGTTAACAATGTCTTTATTATTCTAATTAGATACCAATGCTTCTAAAGTGGTCTCTAATTAGAGGAAGACCTGTATTTTAAAACAATATCTATATGATTCTGTTTCATTTTTGTGAATTAATATGAAACATCAATAGGTATACTATATATATTAAGTCCCTCTCCCACCGAAGTTGATGAGCTCTAGCGCCTTGGATTTGTGCGCTGTATAAATCTTATTATTATTATTATTATTATTATTATTATTTATTCTACGAGTTAAAAACTTGTGAAACTTTTGATCTAATTCGCTTGGGAAAGGACCTCCATACGAACTTACAACGTGTTAGCTATGACTGAGGCACGACCCTAGGCAGTTGGTTACAAGCTATGTATGAATTATGCCGAGCGAGTTTATGACAAGCTTTACAAGATTATTACAATCGTAACAATTTAGTACCGAGGCTTACAGAGTAGAGCTTTTTTTCAGTCATGATAAAAACCCTTGCAATTGCAGGGTTTGAACCAAGGACCCCGGGATTGGAAAGCAAGCATCTTAACAGCAAATCTGCAACTCCAGTCCACATTACAAAACACTTCTTAGCTTTGATCTATGTTGCTACAGTTTTAGCATTTTGTTTTTGTTATTAGGCACGTTCAGACAAGTCAGATGTAAGCTATGAAGTAGAAGTTACTTGTCGTAAGCCCTGGGTACTACCCATAAAGATGCTCTTTGTATTTAAGTTACTTCAGTGTTACTACAGACGATTTACTCCTGAGCAGTCTCGGGAGTAAGTGTGCTACCTCCGCATACACAAGGAAGAAAGAAAATTAAGAAAATATCAGATTAGCGCCGTGTAGAGGCAATTGCTTCAGATGTGTAAACCTTTTTAGACATGATGTCTCATAATTGTTTAAAATTTTAAGAATCTGAGTGCAAAATAACTATTGAGAGATAACAAAAGTGATGATTATCACTTCTGGAAAATTCGCATAGTTACTTCTAAGTTTTGAACTAGCATTAGGTAAAAAGAACATTATGCTCTGGGAAGTGACATGCGCA